GCAAGAGCAAACACATTCAAACTAGCAGAAGGCAAGAAATAACTAAGATCGCAGCAGAACTGAAGGAGATAGAGACACAAAAACCCTCCAAAAAATCAATGAATCCAGGAGCTGGTTTTTTGAAAGATCAACAAAATTAGATAGACCGCTAAGCAAGACTAATAAAGAGGGGGGAGGGATGGCACTGGGAGTTATACCTGATGTAAATGATGAGTTGATGGGTGTTGACGAGTTGATGGGTGCAGCACACCAATATGGCACAGGTGTGCATATGTGACAGACCTGCACATTGTGCACATGTACCCTAGAACTTAAAGTATAATTTAAAACAAAAAAAGAGAGAGAGAAATCCTCAGTGACTTTGAGCACAGATTTTGTAGGTATGACACCAAAAATATGACCCCAAAATGTGATAAATTGGACAACTTAAAAAATTTAGGACTTTTGCTATCCAAAAGCCACTGTTAGGGGAATAAAAGGGCAAGCCACTGCTTCTTAACAAATATTTGTAAAATATACACCTGATAATGTATTTGTATTCAGAATATATAGTGAATCCTTGAAATTTAATTTAAAAAACCAACTCTATAGAAAAGGGGGACAAAATAAGTATATGTAAAGATGCCCAACATCATAGGTCATCGGAGAAATGCAAATTAAAATCACAAATAGATGCTACTCCTTCCTTTAAAAATTGCTTACATTTAAAAGGGCTGACCACATTAACTTTGGCCAAGATGTGGGGGTAGGAACCATATACTGATATTTAAAACAAAATTTAAAACACTGATATTTAAAACAAAATTTATAGTTTCAGAGATTCTTAAGGAGGTAAATATAAATCACCATATAATACAGCTATTACACTATTTACCCAATAGAATAGAATGCTGACGCCCATACAAAGCCTTGGGTATAAATGTATATAGTAACAATTTTTGTAATAGATAAAATCTGGAAACAATAAATATAAATCAAAATGTATACAGTAACAATTTTTGTAATAGATAACACCTGGAAACAATGTAAATATAAATCAACAGATGGCTAAACAATGTGTAGTCTCTCAATACAGTGTAATACTATCAAACAAGAAAAAGAAACAAACTTGTTATGTACACCAATATGGATGAACCTCAACATTTATGCTAAATGAAACATGTTAGACTATAAAAATACATATTGTCTTGTTCTATTTACATATAAGTATAAAAAATGAAAGCTAATGTATAATGAAAGAATACAGACCAGATTAGCGGCTGCCTGTGTGGGGAGTGGCAACATGGCAGGATTAGTGGGCATGGGAAATGTGTGTAGATTATGGATGTATGCATTGTTTGCATTTTTATGGTTTCCTGGCAGTATACATATAACAAAACCTATCAAATTATACACCTAAAATGTGGGCATTTATTTTATGTCAATTATCTCTCAGTAAAGCTGTTAAAACAACAAAATTAAAATAATTTATAAAAGAATTTACACTATTTTGTTGCCAACTCTTAGGCATTAGTTAAACTCATTCTATTATCAAATAAAATTTTATAAACACTTCACATTTAGTGACTAACACATCAAAACAAAAAAAAATAGAATGTTTGCCTTATATTTAAAATGTTTGCCTTATATTTGTGAGGGTTAATATTTGTTTATATTTGTGAGATTATATTTGTGACATTTCATCCAGCTGTACAGTGGTGTTTGCATTTCATTTTACATGAAGAATAACTAGGGAAAGAAGAAAAATACCAAAGATAAGTAAAAATGAAGACACTCATTTACTACTAATAGGAATATAATGGTTACAACCACTTAGGAAAATCATTGGAAATATTTACTAATGTTCAATACGATAATATGCAAGCATTGACACTTCCCATGTATGCATATGTCTGAGAGATTTTCAGACACAATGTTGACCAAAAGACATGCTGTAAAATATTCACAGCAGCACTCTTCGTAATACCTCAAATTTCAAACTACCCAAATATCTGTCAGAATATCAGAAATTAATACCTGCTGTTTCTTTTATTTATTTATTTATTTATCTGTTTATTTAAGACGGAGTCTCGCTCTGTCGCTTAGGCTGGAGTGCAGTGGCGCGATCTCGGCTCACTGTAAGCTCCGCCTCCTGGGTTTACACCATTCTCCTGCCTCAGCCTCTCGCAGTAGCTGGGACTACAGGCGCTCGCCACCATGCCAGGCTAATTTCTGTATTTTTTTAGTAGAGACGGGGTTTCATCATGCCCTCGATCTCCTGACCTCGTGATCCATTCGCCTCAGCCTCCCAAAGTGCTGGGATTAACACTTGCTATTTCTACGCAAAGGTATAGTACGCATCAATTAGAATAAGCATTTTACAACTATAAGCAACAACATCTGTGAATTTCAAAAGTCAGTAATAATGAACAAAGTCAGAAAACAATGTGTATGCACTATAATTCCATTTATATAACATTTAAAATCTGTCAAAAATGATCCATGCTCACCCTATTCAATAAATGGTGCTGAGAAAGTTGAATAGCCACATGCACAAGAATAAAACTATGTATTTCAACTTATACAAAAATTAACCCAAGACGGATTAACAACTTAAATGTAAGACTTGAAAGTATAAAAATTCTTACAAAAAACCTCCAAAATCCTTTTCTGGACATTGGCATAGGCAAAGAATTTATAACTCAAAGACCTCAAAAGCAAATGCAACAAAAGTAAAAATGGACAAATGGGACTTTTTAATTAAACTAAAAAGCGTCTGCAAAGAAAAACTAATTATCAACAAAGTAAGTGGACAACCTACAGAATGAGGGAAAATATTTGCAAACTATATATTAACAAAATACTGTTATCCAGAATCTACAAGGAACTAAAAAAACTCAAAAAGAAAAATATGAACAACCCCATCAAAAAATTAGCAAAAGACATGAACAGACACTTTACAAAAGAACAGACACTTTACAAGAGGCCAAAAAACGTATGAAGAAATGATCAGCATCACTAATCATCAGAGAAATGCAAATTAAAACTACAATGAGTTATCATGTTATCAGAATGGTTAGTATTCAAAAGTCATAAAACAACAGATGTTGGTGAGGATGTGGAGAAAAGGGAACACTTGTATACTGTTGGTGGAAATGTACATTAGTACTATCACTATGGAAAACACTATGAAGATTTCTTAAAGAAATAAAAATAGAACTATCACTCAATCCAGGAGTCCTACTACTGACTAGCTACCCAAAAGAAGAGAAATCAGTATACATCATGTGTTCATTGCAGAACTAGTCACAATAACAAAGTTATGGAATCAACCTAAGTGTCCATCAATGGAGGACTGGATAAAGAACATACACACACACACACTTATCATGTGATATATGTTGATATCATATATATATATCAATGGAGGACTAGATAAAGAACACATGGTGCATATATATATATATATATATAAAAAATATTTTCTCCCATTCTGTAAGGTTGTCTGCCTACTTTGTTGGTTATACCGTGTGTGTGTATATATATATACCATGTGTTTTTTATCCAGTCTTCCATTGATGAATACATATTTATATTTATATCTCTTTATACATACATCATGGAATACTACTGAGCCATAAAAAAAAAACAAAACCCAGCAACATGGGAAAGGCATTAACCTAAGTGAAATAACTCAGAATCAAAACCAAATGCTGCATGTGCTCACTTATAAGTGGGAGCTAAACAATGGGTACCATTGGACATTCACAGTGGAATAATAGACACTGGGGACTCCAAAACGTTGGAAGGTGAAAGAGATATGAAGGGTGAAAAATTACCTATTGAATACAATGTACACTATTCCGATGATGGGTACACTAAGAGCCTAGACTTCACCACTACACAACATATCCTTGCAGCGAAACTGCATTTGTACATCCTACATCTATTTTTCTAAGTGTATACAATATCAAAAGATGCAAGTATAGCTAATATGTCTATATTAATAGCAAGTCAAAATGAAAGGAAAATAAGATTCATGCTGTTAGAAGCAAAATTAGTGATTTTCTTTGGGAAAGATAGTGTCTGGTAAGCTAAGTTGGGGAGTTATGTTTCCAAAATTTGTTGCTGGTTACATGGTCTTGTTCAGTGTAAATGTATTTTGAGCGGTACAACTTTATGGCACACATTTTTGTTACTATGTTATATACATTAATAAATTTCACTAAATAATTAAACAAACCATGACCTTTGTAACCTTTGGAGAGGAGAAAGGATTAGGAAATGTCCCACAGTGCTTTGGAATTATAACAGGATCTTTTTTGAGACCTGGAGTGTGGGAATGTGTATATTCTTTAGTTAACTCATTACTCATTTTGCTAATGTATTTACATATTGTATACTTCTCAGAATTGTGTGACATCTCAAATTTTTAAGTATAAAAAAATAACCAAAGGGAATAATATGCTTATAGAATGTCAATGAGTGGAAAGATACACACATACACACATGCACACAGAGGCACATGTAATGTATAGATATATAGATATAGATGCAGATACAAGCATAGGTATAAGTATGAATTTTCTTTACATACATAGAACATAGACACTAGATGGAGAGAAATGAGTCATTTATAAATGGTTTTCTCTAAGGGAAAAAACTGATTTAGCAAGCGAGTGGGATGGTGGTTTCTCAAAGTATACATTTTAAAAAATTGTAACTTAATCCCTATTACTGTATTAACTTTTAAAGTATTGGTGTTACAAATAAGCTGAATACAGCAAACAGCACTCTAAACATGTATACAGCAGATTAATATTAAATAAATATGTGTAAACAAATAGAAATCCATGAAAAATATAGCACTGTGGTTTGCATTTATGTTCTATTTTTTCCTAGTAGTTTGCAATGCATTAAAACCTCTTTATATATACACATATATGATTAAGGTGAAAAAATATAAATGTATTTAAATATCCACTGAGTCCCTGCTAATTTATGATATGATTCATTTCTAGATGAATTTTATACTGAAAAAGGCTACAATACACACTGGAACAACTGGTTTATTCTGAGTTTCTACATTGTTCTGCCATTTTTCATAATTTTCACCATTGTGATCTTTAAGAGAAATGAAATAAGGAAATTATGCAACAGAGAGAATACAGAGTGTAAGCGGTAAATGTGATATAGGATTAATGTATTAGCTTAAATTATCCTAGTCATTAACCAGTGTCATGCATGTTATATAACATTTATATTAATTCTTAAATATACTATTTTAAATCTAATGTAAGTGGTATCTTTATAATTTTGTTTTTCAATAGTTTGTTATTATATTGGGGTAAACCTAAATTCTGAATGTTCTAGAACTTTTCTTCATGAGTATACTATACTGTACCAAAGACTTACCAGGTCAGAAAAGAATATAGTTGGTACATTATTTTAAGTGCCCTTCTAGTTAGATCTAATTACACATTGGTGTTGGTTTTACTTACCATTTTAATACATTTATTCTTGTAATCTGTTCAGATTTTCTGTTCTTTATTAAGTCATGTTTGGAAGCTTGTGACTTAAAAAATTTGTCCCTTTCTTCAAAATTGTGTAATTTGTTGCACAAAGTTATTCATCGTATTTTCTTGTAATCATTTTAATGTCTGTAGGGTCAGTATTGAATTATTGCACTTTATTCTTTATTCTTTATGAGTAATAAACTCATAATATTGTTTAATTCCCAAATATTATAGATTTCCCATATTTTTTGTCTTGTTAATTTTCAACTTAGTTGAGCACAAAATATACTTCATATGATTTCAATCATTGTAAATTTAAAATCATTTTAAATTTTTTGAGACTTTTTAAATGGCCTAGTATATAGTCTGTCCTGAAGACTGTTCCAAATACACTTGAAGAGAAGGTGTATTTACTATTGTGAATACTCACTGCGTGGGTGGGGAGTTCTATAGAATACAGGTAGGTCAAGGTGGTTGATGGTGTCGTTCAAGTCTTCTATATCCTTGCTGATTATTTTTGTCTAGTTATTCTATCAGCTTTATACCACTTCATGGAAGTATAATTGACATACAAATATGTATACATACTTAATATATACATCTTGATGAGTTTGGAAATAAATATTCCCCTTTAAACCATCATCACCATCAAGGCCATAAATATATCACCTCCCAAAATTTCCTCCCAAACTCTTTATTACTATTGTTGTTTTACCAAGGTAAGAACACTTGACGTAGATCTACCCTGTTAGCAAATATCAAGTATACAATACAGTATTGTTAGCTATAGGTACTGTGGTGTATAGCAGAGCTCCAGAATTTATCTTGCATAACTGAATCTTTGTACCCTTTAACCATCACCTTCCCATTCTCTGCTCCCATATCCCTTGGCAACCACTGTTCTACTCTCTACTTCTATGAATTTGATTATTTTTGAGCCCGCATGTAGTTAAGATCATGCAACTTTTGTCTGACATATTTCACACAAATTTTGTCTGGCATATTTCCCTTGCCATAACGTCCTCTACATCTATTCATGTGATAACAAATAAGAGAATTTTCTTCATTTTTAAGGATGAGTAATATTCCATTACATACATTTGGCACATTTTCTTTATCTATTTACCCATGATGGAAATTTAGGTTGTTTCCATATCATAGCTATTGTGAACAATGCTACAATGAACATGGTCATGCAAATATCTCTTCAAGATCTTGATTTCAAGTCCTTTGAATTCATACCCAGAAGTGAGGTTGTGGCATCATATGGTAGTTCTATTTTTCATTTATGAAGAACCTTCATACTGTTTGCATAATGGCTATACCAATTTACATTTCCACCAACAGTGTACAAGAGTTCCTTTTTCTTCATATCTTTACCAACCTTGCTCTCTTTTCCCTTTTTTCAATAACAATCATGTTAACCTAAGATGTGAAGTAAGCCATTCTAAGTAGAATGTAATATCGCATAGTGGTCTTCATTTATGTTTTCCTGATTATTGGTGATATTAAGTACCTTCTGATACCTGTTATTCAATTCTATGTATTCTTGAAGAAATGTCTATTAAGCTGCTTTGACAATTTTTAAATCAGGTTGTTTGCTTTCTTGCTATTCAGTTGTATGAGATCTACACACACACACACACACAGACAAATATATATATGTGTAGGTGTATATATATATATATATATATAAAGTTTGTAGAGACTATGTCTCTGTCTGTTGCCTCGGCTTGTCTAAACTCTTGAGCTCAAGTAGTCCTCCCGCCTCAGCCTCTCAAAGTGCTGGGATTACTGGCATGAGCCATGGTGCCTGGCCTCCCACACATATTTTTGATATTATGAAACCCTTTATCAGATATATAGTTTGCAAATACTTTGTCTCATTCTATAGGCTATCTTTTTATTTCATTGATTGTTTCTTTTGCTATGCAAAAGCTTTTTGGTTTAATGCAATCACTTTATTTCTGCTTCTATCGCACACACACCTCACCCCTCACATTCTAATTAGGATATCTTCTTCTTACAGTGGTTATAACACCCACCTATTAGCTTATGCCAATTGCAGGCTGATTGCTAAATTGTTTTCAACATGCCTTGGAGCATAAATTGCTCCATAGTCTGATCAATTAAATCCAAGTGATTTTGCAAAAATAGTCTTTGAACCTAGCCCTTGAAGCTTATTTCTCCCCTCTAATCTCCAAAGAACCATCCTTAGTGACCTCTTTCTTTGGTTGTCTTTGTTAAACTTCTAGCTGCTGTATAATTTAGCTTGTTTCACATATATATATATATATTTGTGTGTGTATATATATATATTTGTGTATATATATATATACCATCTTTTCTTAATTGTTTACCATCACAGTCTCCATTGATTTTGACAGCATCCTTAGACTCACACTTTTCTATCCTCTGTTGTAATTTAGTTATCTTTAAAAAAGGTACAGACCAAAATTTTACTCTTGGACATTTATCTCCAAGAAATGAAAATTATGTTCTCTCAGAAACTTGAATTCAAATGTTCATAATACTTTAATTAATAATAATGAAAAACTAGAAATGACTTCAATGCTCTTCAGTAGGTGAATGGTTACCAAAAGCAGAGTAAATCCATACTATGACATATACTAACTAAAATAAAGCCAGTTTCAAAAGCTGACATACTGTGTAATTGGACTTATATAAAGTTGTTGAAATAGAAAAAAAATCAGTATGGGAAAAAGATTAATGATTGTCAGGGACTAGGAATTGTGGGAGAGTTTGATGTGTATGTCTATAAAGGGGGAAGGCATCAAAAAGTCTTGTGTTTATAATATAGTTCTGTATCTTAATGTGATTATAGTTATATGCTACTACACATGTGATCATTTGCACACAACTACACACATGCCAGCATAAGATCGTGTATACCTGGTGAAATATGACAAATCTCTGTGAATTGCATTAATATTAATTTTCTGATTTTCATATTATATTATAGTTAGGCAAAATGTTAGCATAAAGGAGGTTCAGTAAAGGGTACACAGGACCTTCTTGTGTATTTCTTTGAAATGTCCCATGAATATGAAACTATTTCAAAACAGAAAATCAAAAAGTTATTTCATGAACATAAATGTAAAGATAAAGTTATGGAGCTTTTTGAAGAAAACAAAACTTTTGGAGACCCAGAACTATACCAAGAGTTATTTTACATGAGAACAAATCATGATCCATAAGGAAAATTTGAACTTCATAAAAATATAGGAAGCAATTTTTATAAGGTACCTTCAGCAGAAACGAGGAAATAGTATGACATTAAAAAGTGGACTGGTTAACATTAGGTGACTTCAGGTTATATTTCCCTGCAAATGTTAGAGCAGAGGGCACTTTCTTATCACATAAGCTGACATTGACCTGTGTAAGGATTAGGCTTTAATTCCTCTCCTGATTTTCTTGGAAAGTCAGATAAACAACTTAGTTTCAGTTTGGTTACATGGCACCTTAGGATGAATGGCTCCATTTTAGTTTGTTCCATTGGAGACTAGTACAAGAACTCAGCTCAACAATAACCTCCCATAAATTTTATTTAACAACCACTTTCCCAAACAACCATCTTGCAAAATCTTTCTAAGATGAAAAATTAATACTCACACTTAAAACTTTTGAATAATTTAATATTACTCTCATAAAAAGTTTATTTACTTACCCAATTAGCTTAAATCTCAAATGAGACATTCTTTCTGTAGTTACTTTTTTTTTTTTTTTTTGAGACGGAGTCTCGCTCTGTCACCCAGGCTGGAGTACAGTGGCCAGATCTCAGCTCACTGCAAGCTCTGTCTCCCAGGTTTATGCCATTCTCCTGCCTCAGCCTCCCGAGTAGCTGGGACTACAGGCGCCCGCCACCTCGCCCGGCGTAGTTACTTTTGATAGAGAAAGATAGGATTATTTTAACTGCATTCCCAGGGAAAGTTGTATACATCCTAAAAATGAATTTGTAAAGTATTTCTAGTTATGACATTTCTTCAATATGTCTAGTTTCCTATTAGCCTCTGACCTACTTGAACATAAGGATGGCATCTCTATATTTTGGAAAGAGCTACTACAAAGGTCCCTGAAATGTCTTCAAGGCCTTTCCCCCATTGTCTTGGATATTAGCACTTGGCTCCTTTTTAGTTAACAGAGATTTTAATAAAATCATGAGTAACTGTATTATTTATCATGCCTTCAGTGAGGTATAGTAGACTTCAAAAATGTGTTCAGGTCATAGAGAGTCAGAAAGTCATTATTCTTTAATAGTAACATAGTAAATCTTGATACATTAATTATCAATTATGTGGATTAACAAAATATATAAAAAATAAAGTCTTTAAGGTGTATGGGACTATTTAAATAAATATGACATACAACATATATCACAACCAAAAGCACATGGTTAAAAAATAAATACTTCAGTGAAATAAAAATTTTGGCTATTTGGAGGTTAATTTTTTATGTTATTATTGTTTGTAAGTCAAACAAATACTATATGTTTAGAAGGAAGTGTGGAAAAATGAATTGTAAAAAAGCCAACCTTATTTTGTTTCCTTCTACAAACTGGAGAAGACAATCAATATTTGATTTTGTTTTTAAATATTGCATGAAAAGTATATAAGCAAGAGTATTCCACAGAAGGACAACTTAAGAATGTCTGGCCAAAGAAAAAAATTGCAAAATTGAAATTAGGTAATTCCATTTTTATATTTTTGAGAACTACCATACTGTGTTCCACAGTAGTTTTACAATTCTTCATTCCCACCAGCTGTCCAAAAGGGTTCCAGTTTGCCCATATTCTTGCTAGGATTGTTATTTTCTGCTTTTTAAAAAAACATAGTAGCCATCCTAATGGGTGTGAGGAGATATCTCATTGTGGTTTTGATTTGCATTTCGCTAATGATTAGTGATATTGAGCATATTTTCTTGTGTTTGTGGGCCACAGAGGATGGGAAGTTGTTGAATACGTATCATTCAATGAGGAGTTATTCTTTACTGAGCACAGAAGTTCATTTTTGCAAGATGAAAATGTTTCTGGAGACAGATGGTGATAGTTTCACAGCAATATGAATGTACTTAGTACCACTGAACTGTACACTTAAAAATGGTTAGAATGTGTATTTTACTGCATAAAGTATTTTTATAAACTGAATAAAGAAATTGTGAAAAAATTAAAGTCAGCAACCTGAATATTAACTATAAAATGAAAATTATTTCCATGTTAATTCTATTGTTTTCATGTGTGAATGTCATATTAATGAGGAAAAAATAAAGACTAACCTTTTATTTTGTCTCCCTAAGCCGTAGGTTTTTCTAAGAAACAAAGTATATAAAACTGAATAAATGGATTTTGATTGTTTTTACATAGTCATTTCACAGTTTGCCTGGTAAATTATAAATCAATGCAAATGTATGAAAACATATACATTTATTTTATGTTTAGCTTTTTAGTTGGACTCATTATAATATAGATAAGTTACCTATAATATAGATAAGAACCAAATTTATCTATAATATAGATAATATAACATCTATAATATAGATAACCAAACTTATCTATAATAATCTTTGATTTTTAGCAATTATAAAGTAGAAATTCAGTAGTAAATATGGTTTAAAATAGGCATTGGCTACTGCTAAACATATTGTGAATTTCTATTTTTTCTGTTTTTCTTCACTATAGTAATTCATCCGCTGTATCAGAAAGCTATGATGTGGAACATTAATATTGCACAGAACTTCCGTAGCAAATAAACTAAAGGAACAAATGTGCTTTATAACCTTATGTTATCCCCGAATGCATTGTAAATGCTAAACTTTTGGAAAATAAAGCCTGCGTGCCTTCCCACGTGCCTCCTCCAATGCATCCGGTTGTGGGTGGGGAGCCCCTTGACTCCAAGTTCCACGAGTCTCTGGGATCCACAGAGCTGGGTCTGGGCCGTGCCCTCTAGACTCCACCGTTCTTGGGCTTCACTCGGCCTCCCCAGCCCTGGCCAGAAGCAGCCCCCTTCCATGCTCAGCAGCCATTACTGTGGCGAGGCCGCTGGCCACGCAATGCTCTCTTGCTGATCCTCTCAGGGCTGGGCCGGCTGACCTCCGCAGGTCATTGCAAGTGAAGAATTTCGCTGCGTACGATGACTGCATTTCAGTGTCCAGAGAGGAGGCATGTGTCACCCTCCCTGTTCCAGTAGCTCAGGCCAAGCTGGGCAGAAGAAACAGCCCATTGCTCCAGAGCCCCAGAGCCTCAAGGACAGGCGAGCATCATCCTCCTTGGTCTTGAACCTTAGGCCAGGTTGTGGAGGGACACGGTCAGAGCCTGCCCAGTTCCAGGGCCACTGTGCCACTGGAATCTGGTTGAACCTACTAATTGGAAGGCTCAGCCCAGAACTCAGACAGCTGTTCCTCACTTAACCTGACTCTGCTCAAGAGGGTGCATTTCCTGGAGAGCTGGGAGAAGGAGGGAGGCTGGACGAGGTCTGACACCTACAGCCTATACTTCCTTTGCCATTCTGGGTTGAAGTCACCGAGACCCGTAGTGTAGGAGATGACTCTGGGTAATACTCCCTCTTCTCTTCTAGGAGAGCTTCTTCTTGGAATTGGACAAAGTCTGGTTTTGTGGGGTGTGTGTGTGTGTGTGTGTGTGTGTGTGTGTGTGTGTGTTGGGGCTTGGAAGTATGGTGATGTAAGATGAGCAGACGAATGAAGAAAGGATGCTGTGATATGCTGGGAATGCCCACATGTGTTTCCTTACTGCGGATTCTGAAACACTATTTCTGCAAATTGTATGGCCACAGAATATTAAGAAAGACACCAATAATGGTGATGTATCTATACACATTCATCTGTGAAATTATGTTTGTGCTCATATTTACTTTGTGCTTACATTTTGTCTGAGTGAAAATAAATGGTTTGCTTAACTTTTTCTTTCATTATTCTTCAAGTAATATATGCATACTAGGGAAATAATTCTTAAATATTTAAAAATACAGTCTCAAATAGAAAAAACAAAAGAAAGCATACCAAATTCCTAGCACATAAAAAGGCTAAACAGTCAACTTGAACTTGATTTTAACTAGCTTTATTGAAACATAACTAACATATCATACAATTCACTCATTGAAAGTATGCAATGCAAAGGTTTTAGTAAGATCACAGAACTGTGCAACCATCACCATAATCAATTTTTGAACATTTCATCACCCAGAAAAGAAGCTCCAGAAACATTAGTAATCACTCCCCATTGTTTTCTTCTACTTTCCACCTAACTTCTCCTTTACTTCATCAGCCCCAGGCAATCACTTATCTACCTGCTAGCTCTATATATTTGTTTATTCTGAACTTCAAAAGACAAGAAAAGCAAGAATAGAAAATAAGGGATTACTTTAAACTAAAAAGCTTTGATATAGCAAAAGAAACAATAGAGTGAAGAGACAACCTATATAACAGAAAATGTTTGCAAATTATACATCAAGTAAGGGGTTAATATCCAAAATTTATAGGTGATTAAACTCAATAACAAGAAAACAAATAATATTATTTTGAAATGGGCAAAGGACCTGAATCAACATTTCTCAAAAGAAGACATCCAAATGGCCAAGAATTATATGAAAAAATGGTCAACATCACTATCATCAGGGAAATGCCAATGAAAATCACATGCACGTGATATCACCGCACACCTGTAGAATGGATCCTTTATTAACAAAAAAGTGCACAGTTATGCTGAGAGATGTTCTCATACAAATTCTTAGAAAGTTTAGCAAATGATACTTGAGCTCTGAAAAATTAATACCATATTTATGATAATGGTTAGAAAGCTGAAAAGTGTTAAAGGAAGTGACACATGCAAGTCTCTAGTTGTGTTTCAAAACAATTCTAACTGCATCTTTAATTTTCTTAACAGTAAAGTAGGTAAAGTTATGCCAACTTGTGAGTATGTTGTTAGACTTTATGAGATATTTTATAAGGCATTTAGCCATGGTACATAAAACTTGTTTTTTTACATTTTTTGTTATTATGAGTAAGGTGCAGGTAAGTTATGTTGTTGAAATACAGATTTGTGCTTTAAGCAACTGTGTATATTGTGATACCATTACCTGATATCCAGAATGTAGAAGGCAAAATATATGTCTTTATTCTCAAACAATAGGATAAAAGAGGAATGCAGAATATTTCATTGGCTCGTTTCCTATAGAGTTTGTATCAAATACAATTATAAGACACATCATGAAGTTCTACATATGAAAACCAATCCATGTAATAGAATGAAAGAAAAGAACCACATGGTCATCCTAAGTGAGGCAGAATAAGCATTTGACAAAATTCAGTATACTTAATGATAAAAAGCCTCAAGAAGTTAGGAATAGAGGGAAACTATCACAAAACAGTTAAAGGTGTATTTAATAAATCCACAGTGAATGTCATATGTAATGGTGAGAATGAAAACATTTACTCTAAGATCAGGAACAAGGTAATGATGTCCATTTTCACTGCTTTTATTCAACATAATACTGGAAGATCTACTTAGAGCAATTAAGCAAGAAAAAAAGCATTCAAACTAGAAAGAAAAAGTAAAATCTCTGTTCCCAGTGGTAGTCTTATCTATAGAGAACACTACACACAAATGACCCCCCTGACACACACACACACCGTGTTATAACTAATAAATTCAGCACAGTAGCAGGATACCAAATCAATACCCCAAAATAAGTTGCTTTTGCCCAGGCATATAGTTCACATTTGTGATCCCAACTACTTGAGAGGCTGAGGCAGGAGGATTGCTTGAGGGAAGAAGTTCAAGACCAACCTGGGCAAAATAGCAAGAAGTCATCTCTAAAATAAATTTTTTTAAAAAATTACCTGGCCCTGATGGCACACTTGTAGGCGAAAGGATCGCTTAACCCCAGGAGTTCAGGCTGCAGTGAGTTGTGATCATACCACTGCACTCCAGCCTAGGTGACAAAGCGAGACCTCATCTTGGAAAACAAAAAGAAAAAACTTGCACTTATTTATACTAACAATAAACAGTATAAAAGGGAAATTAAAAAATTAAACAATAGCATTAAATGGGATGAAATAATTACAAGTAAATTTAACCAAAGAGCTGCTGAAAGACATGTACAATGAAATCTACAAAATATTGTTTAAAGAAAGTAAAGACATAAGTAAATGGAAAGTTATCCCATGTTCATGGATTAGAAGACTTTATATTTAAGATGCCAATATTATGTAAATTGATCAGATTCAATGAAATCCCAATCAGAATCCTAATGGCTTTCATGCAGGAATAGAAAATTTATATGGAATCACAAAGGATTCTGACTAGCCAAAATAGTTCTGAAAAAGAACAAAGTTGGAAGGCTCACACTTTCTGATTTTAAAATTACCTAAAAATCTACAGAAATTAATAAAGTTGGATGTAAAGACAGATATATAGACCAAAGTAACAGACTAGAAAGACCAGAAACAAACCCTCACGAGTATAATTAAATGGACTTCAATAAAGTACCCAAGACAAATAGGGAAAGGGCAGTCTTTTAAACAAATCATGTTGAGAAAACTAGATTCCACAAGCAAAAGGACAAAGTTGGACCCTTTCCTAAGGACACACACAAAAATTAACTCAAACTATATCAAAGACTTACATGTAAGAGTTAAAACTATAGAAGCCTTAGAAAAAATGTATAGGCCAAAAGCTTTATGATGCTTAATTTGGCAATGATTTATTGACATGATATCAAAGATACAAATAACAAAAGAAAAAAATAGACAAATCAGACCTTATAAAAATTAAAAACTTTTAAGCAAAAAAAAAAAAAAAGAGTAAAAAGGCAACCAACAGAATAAAAGAAAATATTTATAAATCACAACTTAAAATGGATTAACATCCAGAATAGATATACAACTTCTAAAATTCAGCAACTTCTAAAACTCAATGCCATAATAACAGTTCAAAAGGACTTGAATAGACATTTATCCAAAGAAGACAAATGGCCAACTAAGCACATGAAAAGATGTTTAACTCCAGAAACATTAAACAAAAAAGTAGAGAGTCATGAAAATAGCAAAAGACGAATAACTTTGTCACATACAAATGATGCTGAATAAGAATAATAGCTGATTTATCATTAGAAACCATGGAGGCCACAAGACAGTAGGATGAAATATTCAAAGTTCTGAAGGAAAGAAATGATCAATCAATAATTTTATATTGAGCAAAACCATCCTTCAAAAATGAAAAAGAAATTAAGACATTCTCAGACAAAAACTGAAAGAATTTGGCACTAGCAGACCTACCCTATAAAAGAAGTGAATCCATATGAACAAAAATTAGGCACCATTAAGGGTAACTATGACAGTAAATATAAAAGACAACGTAAGTTTATTTTGGTTGTGTCTTTCCTATCGTATGTTATTCAAAAGACAGCTACATAAAGCAATAATTATGAATCTAAATTGACTGGTACACAATAGTAAGTATGTAATTTGTGACAATAACACAAAGTATACTGGAGCAGAGGACAGACCTACGTATAAGCTAAGCCTGTATACTATTGAAATTAAATTGACATTACTCCAAAATAGATTGTTATAAATTAAGATATTAATGTAAACCGCGGGCCAGTCACTAGGGAGACAATTCAAAAATATATGTTAAAGAAAATAACATTAAAATAGTAACTCGAAAATATCCATTTAACTCAAAGAAAGCAGTAATGGAGGAAAAAAGGGAAGAGAAAAGGCATAAGACATAGAGAAAACCGAGGGTCTGTTTCAAGATGACTGAATAGGAACAACTCCAGTCTGCAGCTCCCAGTGTGATAGATGCAGACGACAGGTGATTTCT